TCGTACACTGCATAGACTACCAACAAGGCCTATTTCGAAAGGCGGTTAGCTAGCCTAGCCACCTACCCACCCACCTAACCCTAACCCTTGCCATTAAACTTGCTGCTGACGTTGACTAGCCCCTACATTTGCCATATCTAGATCCCTGTTTCTGCCAGCCCGCTTACCCCTTTCCAGTAGCCCGTGGTCAGTGCGTTGTATGAATCTACTGAGAGGATACGGTACTAGTGCATGTGCGACCGTATCCTCTGAGCAGATTGGCCAACCGCTAATTCTTGGGCTAACAGCAAAGGGGAAAGTGGCCGCTCACAGCGCTAAACCTATCATAGAAAACAGTTAACCTACCTACCTATTTACCTACTTGCCTACTTGCCTATTGTTTACTGTTCTTACGCCTTAACTTCCTGCTGACGTAAATAACTAACCCTTGCTTTTGCCTTTCTAGATCCCTGTTTTTACTAGCACGCTAGCCCTTATCTGGTGGCCGCGATACTCTTTGCCGTTGGCCTGAGAATTGGCGGTTGGCCAATCTGCTCAGAGGATACGGTACAGGGGAGATTTGCAGCAGGCAGCAAGCTGTTTGTGCTTGGCGTCCCATTGACCCCGCCGCCCCCTCCTCATCCCGGGATAACAAGCTCACCATACATCTACACCCCCTTAAGTAAAGTCGATAAGGTACATAATAAGCATTCCCCCTCGTCTTCACACGTGTTTTGCGACCAGTGAATTGCTTTGAATCGAGCATCATCAACTGTTAATCTGTGTTTCTCTTTAACTGCTCTTTCTCTCACACGTGTATCCCCTAATACCCATCCCCCCTACACACACAGCCATGTTCCGTCGCAAGAAGAAGCCTGCTAGGGAGCCGCCTGAGGTTTTTGGCTACGACCGCGATGCGCTTGTCTCGCTCGTGAAGCGCCACTACCAGCTGCTTGTCGACATGGGCCACTTGCACCCGGAGGCCGTTCAGGCACCACCCGAGCCGGCGGGATGGTCTGATGCGGAGCTCAACGTCGACGCGCTACGGGCGCTGGGCCGCTCGGAGACGGTCATAGACCTTTTACGGCACCTCCCGTATCCGCAGGCTGGCCCTCCTAGCAGCGACGCCGCAGACGACGATGCTATAGTCTACTATGAGACAATGGTCCGGTCGTACCTTAGGAACAAATGGCAGCCCGAACAGGACGAGGACCCAAACTGGCACCAGCTGCCGTTTGCCATGCTCGGTCTGGGGCCGTTCGACAAGCCGGTGCCGCCGCATATCGTCTCATTAACACACGAGGAGGCAGAGGTCGGCGTGATTTGGGTGATTGATACGGAGCGAGGTTAGATCTCCCCATCTCTTGTCTCTACCTTATCCACAGAACGTGCTGACGGAGGGTTTTGCTTCACCTTGCCTGCAGGATGCGTCTACCCGCAAGGAGATGACTACTATCTATACGACGACGCGCCGCCCGAGGCGGAAGAGGACAAGCCGTGGCTTGGCGCAAAGGCGCTCTCATTTAAGACATTCTTCGACAAGATGCATCATGAAATCTCGTCCCTGAAGCTGGTCCCAGCACCCGCGGCGGGGAATTTCGGGGCCGCCATCTGTGCCCCGAAGGACGCGGAAGCCAAGGTGAGTCTGATGATGCAACCCCGCCCCGGTCGATCCATCGGAAAAGTGTCTAACAGGTATAACAGGCAATCAAAAGTTTGTACCGCGAGTACGGCTGGCCGGACGCCTTTAGAAAGGAGGAGTTTCTCCGGGCTGCCGTGCCAGCTCGCGCGGCCATCAAGAATGACCAGTACGATTGGTCAGACGAGGATTGACGGGCGAGTCCCTCCTTGCTACAGCATCGCGGTACGACGGTTTCAATTTAGTCTCTGATTGCGGTAATCACCAATCGTACAGTAGAATTTGAGACAAATGACATGTATGTATATTTGTACGAAGACTTGATCCACCGCAGTGCACGCGGTCTTTACGTCGTCCAATCACCATCTCAACTTGTCGCGATACAATAGTAATACGTCGGCCAGATCTGCGTGCCGCAGTTCTCTCCCGCGGGCCCGAGGACGGGGTTCAAGGCAAACAGGACTGACATGTCGATGCCGTTGTCATTTGCGAGCTGCCAGCACGACGCGCCCGCTTCAGCCTGCGCGAATCGGCTGCAGTTGTCCGGGATCCCGGCCTGCGTGTTGGTGGGCTTGGCCGGGGCCGTCGTCGTCGCCGGGGGCGCCATCGTGGTAGTGGGCGTCGTGGCGGCGGAGGAGACGCCGACGCAGTAGTAGTACGTCGGCCAGATCATGGTGCCGCAGTTCTCGCCGTCGGCGCCCAGGACGGGGTTCCACTTGTAGAAGAGGGCGAGGTCGACGCCCGCGTCCGTGGCGAGCTGCCAGCACCCGGCGCCCTCGGTCGCCTGCGTCCACTTGTTGCAGCTGGGGTCGGTGCCCTCGTGCTGCGGCGTCGGCTTAGGCACCGACGAGGCCGTGGCCGAGGCGGTCGAGGCGGGACCGCTCTGCGTCGACGTCGTCGGGGTGGCGGTGCCGTCCTCGGGCGTGCCGACGCAGTAGTAGTAGCCGAGCCAGATTTGGGTGCCGCAGTTCTCGCCGTTGGCGCCGAGGGCCGGATTCAGCTCCCACAGCCGCGTCTGGGTGATTTTGGCGTCGTTGCCGATCTTCCAGCACGAGGCGGCCGTGTTGTCCGCCTTGACGAACCGGTTGCAGTTGGCCGGGATGCCCTCTTGCTTGCGGTCGTCCGGGACGGTAGAGGGGTCCGTGACGATGGGGAGGATCTCGGTACTTCCCGGGCCACCGCGGACCGGTCCGTTGGAGTTCTCGGGGATGTCGGCATCGGGGGGCTTGACCCAGGTGCCGCCAGGTCGTCTGAGAGAAAAAGGGCGTTAGGTTTTCAGGTTTGAGACGAACAAAAAGAGATGATGACCAAGGCAATGGCGCTGAACATGATGTGTTCACTTACGAGATGCAGATGTACTGGCTCTCGGCCAGGAAGTCACAAGCGCCCATGAGGTTGGGGTTCCAAGTCATGAGCTGCGCCACGCTGACGGGATCTGTTTCGTTGGAGATTGCTTTCGAAATAGTCTCGCTGTCGTAGTATTAGCAGCCTTTCAAACGGCTTGATTTCTCAACGAAGACGTGTGTGACACGTACCATGTATCCCCGGCATTGACGCGGAGCAACTGACAGGCCTCCGGTACGCAGACAAAGTCGTACGAGTAACAATCGTCTGCGCCGGTGGCGTACATGAGCTGGCCCGTCGCGACGCCATACTCCTCGCCGAGCTCGTTGCACGCCTCGATACCGTCCAGGCTTGCGTAGCGGACGTCGACGGCACGTGCGGTGCAGTTGGTGGGCACGACGGGCTCGGCGGGCTCCGGCTCCGGCTCGGCTTCGTCGGGGTCCTCTTCGCCGTCGGGAATCTCCTCGTCAATGCCGGGATCCTCGGGGTCTTCCTCGGGGTCCCAGGGAAGGCCGTCATCTCCAACGATGGGTGCCCCGGTGGACGGGGTACCGGTCGGCTCCGGCGCCGTCTCGTTGAGCTCTTGCAGCTCCGATGCGTAGGGATACAGCGGGACGGCGCGCGTCGCTAGGGGGCCGACGCTCGTCTGGCAGACAGACTGGATGTCCTGGAACTCGCTGACGAGATAGTCAGAGTGGTCAGTGTCCGGGAGAAACTCCGAGGTCACCCTGCGGTACATCATGTTGAGGAAGCACTCGGAGCACAGGAGGTCGTCGTCGTAGAGGGTCGAGATGCGGCTGTTCTCGGCAGACACGTTGGCCGGGTTGATGCACCACGGGTCGGCGGGGTTCGCGGCGCAGTCGACCTGCACGACGTCCGAGCCGGTCCAGTTGTAGGACGCGGGCAGACACCACTGGCTGCCTGTGTCACGCAAGCAGGCCATCTCCAGGCCTTCGACGAACCGGAGACTCAGAGTCTCGGCCGGCACGGCGCGGTCGCCGACGACGAGCCAGTCCTCGGAGCAGGCGGAGGCGACGGTCTCCGTCCATGTCCGGGCGTCGGCCTGACAGTCCGGGACGCAAAGGGTGCTGACGTCTTGCTCGGTCCAGTAGACGTCGTCGACCTTGACAGTCCACCTGAAGAGGTCATCGTCACACGGCAACGTGGTGTTCCTAGTGATTGGAAACGAATCAGATGTCTGGGACGCTCGGGTTATAAGCAGGAGACCTGTAAGGGACTTACAGCGCCTTGACGCAGTTCTCACTGACGCCCAGCATTTCGGCCATGGGCTGTGTAGGAATGAGTGGATATAGTTGGAAACCCAACTTGCACAGGGCAAACGGCAAGAATGCCACGACGGCAAGTGTAGGCTTTGCAGACACCATCGTCACAAACAAAAGAGTGCAGTTTGTGCCTGATGAAGCGTGAGCAGGTTGGCCGTTGTAACGACCGGATGAATAGGTTGTCCAAGTCCTAATAAGAACCCTCTTCCAGTTCCCAAAACTACACCGGGGGCTGGATGCACCGGGAATAACGACCTCTTTGCGTCAAAATCCATGTTCGCAACCATCCTCCGACTGGGACAAGATAGGCAGCATCTTTTCACCCCTCCCTGCCAAGAGTCTAGTACCTGACACTAAGGTAGGCAACAATATTACCACACCGAAAGTGGGTGATTTCAAAAGTCCTGCATGTTCTGTCTTGTGGGATTTGATGCAATAGTAAGGGGCAAATCTGCATCCTGATGGTAGGTAAAATCTTGTTTAATCAGGCCATCTCCACGGGATTTCTCGGTCCACGATGTTTAGACCATACACACAGTCGTTGCCAAGGACTGATGGGCTCATTTGGCTAGTGGCGCCCTGCATACAAGAGACATGTTCTGTAAGCGGGTAGCCCATGCGGCCCGAAAGGCTATCTCAAGGGCGGGAATAAGCTCATCACGTGGCTCAGAGTAAGCACTAGTTGCTGCAGCTTACATTTGACCTGGTAGGTTTTGAGTCAGTTGATGCCCTCTTTGGAGTATCCATCCCGAATCCCACGCGGATGTGAGCTTTCCCGCAAACGGGATTCCATCTCCGACCGCTTGGAGATGCAGGAACTAATAATTCTCGTGCCGAAAAGCAGTGCGCGATAGACACCCCTGCATTCCGGGTGGCGCCGCTGTCCCGTTCTCCTTGTTGAAGGATCTTGAACGATTGTGAGGCAAGCAAGTTTAGTATCTCGATTCAGAACGAGTTTCTTAAATGACCATGGCTGCCCGCACGATGAACGAGGTCTGCAGAGTCTTGCTCACAGTCGTTCTTTAACCCCCCTACACTCCTTTCTTGGCTATTCTGCCTCTGTCTAGCCATGCGTTTTCTTCAGGCTTCTTGGACCACTTTGGTCCTGTCCATTCTTTTACGCCAAGCCATTGCAGAATCTTACTTTGCTCTCAACTCCGCCTATGGTCTCTTGCAGAACACTGTTGCCGCCGAGGACCTCGAACTGCCAGTCGGAACTTGCAATGCAAACACGCCATGTGTAAACGGCGCTTGCTGCAGTGGCGTATGTTACTATATTTCCTCATTCTGTCATTATACGTTGTTGGTAATTCCTTCATCTAATATCAAATGCTGACTTGCCGTCTAGAACGGCAGCGGTCTCTGCGGTTACTCCCCCTCGGAATGTGGCGCCGCAAACTGCACCTCCAACTGCGATGCCAAAGCCGAGTGCGGCCAGTACGGCAAGCCTGGTAAACAGACCTGTCCTCTTGGTGTTTGCTGCTCAAAGTTTGGGTAAGTCGACCGATTCCACCGCCTCGACTGAGAGACCCCCCCACTACACCCGGAGCTAACTGACATTGTCCCGCCAGTTTCTGTGGCTCAACCTCTGACTTTTGCGACGCCGGATGTCAGGAGGGATTTGGTGGCTGCGGCGACGTCAAGCGGCCCTCCTGCAGCAAGGACGGCGGCAGCATCAACAAGCGGACCATCGGCTACTACGAGTCCTGGGCCAACACACGAGCCTGCAGCGCCGTTTCACCCGAGGACCTCAACCTAGATGGCCTTACTCACATCAACTTTGCTTTTGTCTTCTTCGATCCGTCCTCGTTTCGGATTATTCCCATGGACAAGAACGCCGGCACCCTCCTCAACCGTTTCACCAAGCTAAAGGAAAAGAAGGCTGGCCTACAGACTTGGGTCAGTGTTGGTGGTTGGTCTTTTAACGATCGTAAGCACCCCGTCTCAGAATCAAACCCGTGCAATGTCTCGAGGTTTCGGATCCCTATGTGATTCACTGCCTGGCATTGATCAGTTCGTATTCAGGTGACTAACTCTCTATGCACCCGCAGCCGGCCCATACCAAAAGGCCTTCAGCACCATGGCCTCGAGCGCGGGAAACAGAAAGATGTTTATCGATGGTCTGATCAAGTTTATGGAGGTGAGAACGTCATCATCCCAGGTCACGAAAGACAACTAACGCGTGGGACAACCAGAGCTATGGATTCGATGGAATGGATCTCGACTGGGAGTACCCAACAGCTAGTAGGTTTCATGACTCTCAAATTCTCGCAATCGTCTGACACGGAGCCAGGCGATCGCGGCGGTACCGCAGATGACACTGCCAACTTTGTGCTGCTGTGCAAAGACATCAAGGCCGCGTTCGGGAGTCGTTTTGGCTACTCCATCACTCTGCCTGCATCGTACTGGTACCTCCAGAACTTTGACCTCGCTGGCATGCAGCCATATGTTGACTGGTTTAACATCATGTCGTATGACATCCACGGGGTGTGGGATGCTGCTTCAAAGTTCGTTGGACCTATTGTCGCAGCGCACACCAATCTCACTGAGATCGACATGGGTTTGGACCTCCTCTGGCGTGCGGGCCTCAAGCCCGAGAAGGTTGTCCTCGGTCAAGGATGTAAGCAGCCAGCCAGATGTTTATTCTATTCCCTGGCCTCATCGGTACAATGACTGACCTAGGAACAGACTACGGCCGCTCGTTTACCCTCAAAGACCCGAGTTGCAACAAGCCGAACGGTGTCTGCCAGTTCACGGGAGGCGCGAAAGAGGGCCCGTGTTCCAAGGCCTCCGGCATCTTGACTCTACAGGAGATCTTTGACATCATCAAGGAAAAAGACCTCAAACCCCAATCCGATGAGAAAGCCGGAGTCAAGTGTACGTTCATCGCGGCGAGCGACTTTAAACTTTTAATGCCTGCGCTAATACCGCCGAAATAGGGATTCATTGGGACAATGATCAGTGGGTATCATACGATGACGCCGAAACTTTGATCAAAAAGAAGTCGTTCGCCAACTCTCGTTGTCTAGGTAAGAAGAGCCAACCCAAGCCCGTATCGACTGCCATGAAAGAGAATCATTAGACCAAAGAACGTTATAACCCATACTAATCCACATTGGTGTAGGAGGGTCCATGATCTGGGCTTTGGACCAGGTGGACCAGGATAGCAAGAGCTTGCAATATCCTGAGGACTGGACGGATGAGGAGGTGTCCTTGTCCGAGGACATGATTGCAGACGAAGAGGTCAAGGGCGTGTGCTATACCACCAAGTGTGGCGAGCCATGCCGGAAAGGCGACCATGAAGCAACCCAGATGAACGGACAGCCGGGGTCTCTTTCCACCATGGACCGGTGCCCTAAGGATAAGTACCGCACCCTCTGCTGCAATAAGGGAACCACCATGGGCAAGTGTCGATGGAGGGGATACCGCGGACTGGGCTTGGCCTGCACGGGAGGCTGCGCCGATTTAGAAACGGAGATCACGCAGAACACGAACCACCACAGCGACAAGGAGGACCAGACCTGCAGCGGAGGTACCCAGAGCTACTGCTGTGCAGGCTTCATGCCGCCCATCAGCAAGGAGCAGATCGAGGAGAAGATCAAGGACGAGGCGGCCGACGCTGCGATTGCTGCCGCCGAAGCGTTGGCTCTCGAGGTTGCTGCAAAGGCGTTCTGCCGTATTGCTATCACGGCCGCACTCACGCCTTTGACCTTCATTCCCATTGTTGGTAAGTCCCCAAAGTCCGCAACTAATAACTCATCCCTCCCCGATCCCATCTCTCAACTTTGGCGGGTGCTGACAACCCCCTCTCTTCACCAGGATGGATCGTTCGTCTCGCCATTCAGGCTGCGGTTCCGGCGCTCGCCAACCTCTGCGCCAAAGGCATTGCCAAGGCCGGCAAGTCTGTCTTCAAGTTCCGCGGGAAAGACTACGACGTCAAGCTCGATAAGCCGCTCACCACCAAAAACGACCGTGGCGACCGGGGAAAGTCGGACAAAGCGGACGAGAAAGACGGTCACTGCGACCTCAAGGGCAACGGCCTCGTCAAGCGCGCGGCATTCCGGCCCAAGTCGGAGACCTCGACGCGGCTCGTCCAGAAGCGCCAGACGGTGACCAAGACGTGCAACGGCGGGCTGTACCCCCAGCCATGTCTGCACTACCGGTCCGTCATCAACAACCAGAGGGGCATGGATGTCCTCACCTGCACCACGGCGGCCGGCGGTGGCATCAGACCCGTCGTCGAGAAGTACAGCAAGGACCACAACACCAAATGGATCAATGGCTGGATGCAGGCCCGGAACCTCAACTGCCAGCGCGACGAGTACCCCCCGGCCGCCATCTGGCAGGGTCGCGACATGAGGCAATGGATCCGCCTCGTGCCCGGCGCGCAGAACGGAGGCGCCGGCCAGCTTTTCAAGGGCGTCTGTCCCGCCCAGCACAAGCTGTCGCCCGAACAGGGGCGGCGCCTGGCCAAGGTCGTCCGGAACTGCAAGCGCGTCGTCTCCAAGTTCGTGGTGACGCGCACGGCGACCACCAGGGTGATGAAGATGAAGTTCACCAACATGGCCGCCGCGGACGCCCTCGCCGACGACGGCATCCCCGCCAACCCGTGCTGGCCCAGCACGCTGATCGACGACCCGGGCTTCGCGCTGATGACCAACGACCCCTGGTACAACGCGCACCCGGCCAGCAAGAGGAACACGCGCCTGTACAGGAACGCGCCCCCCGCCAGCATCGTCGCCGGCAAGACCAACCGTCCCGGTTTCAACAAGAGAGACGGGCTCGACCCGGCGACGTTCGACCCGGAGGACGTCTGGGTCGACGAGGGCAACTCCACGCGCAAGGCGACTGACGAGGAGCTGCTCGAGGGCCTAGGCTTCCTGCGCTGCGAGGACGGCGACTGCGATGGCGAGCTGGGCGACCTCGGGGTCAACTCTCTGCCGCTGATCAACCCGAGCGCCACCGTGCCTGTCGACGTCGTCGCGTTCGCCACGCCGTTCGACGCCCTCCCCACGTCGCTCACCAACGTTTTGGAGACAGCCTCTTCGATACACGAGGAAGCCAGGGCCCTGATCACACCGGCTCCCGAGATCGAGTACGTGTACGAGGAGGAGTATATTGGATATGAGGACTGATCTTCAGCCACTGAGGCTGGAAACCTTCGCAGATTTCGCCATGTATGGTTATAGCACTTTTACCCCCCGCCAGGATCTGAAAGATATGGGTAAAATGCTGTGAGAAAATCGATACCAGAGAGCTTTGTAACAGGAGACTATGTCTTTTCTCTAAAGATTCTTGTCTAATAAGAAGACATGATTCCTTGTATAGTGTGTATCGAAAACCACGACAGGATCAAACAGGATGCAATCGACTTAGTGGCGAAGTCTATAATTTGCTGCGTTTTATTAATGAGGCTTAGGAAATGGCTTAAATGATTACTAAGATTTGTAGCGACAGGAAACTTTTGCCTGGATGCTTTGACAAAATCAAAGATGGTGTCTTTAGATTTCCCAGCCTCTTCATAAGCTAGATCAAAAAGAGTTTCAAAGTGCTTTAGCGAAAATGAAATAAGGGATTCCTTTTGAAGGATCTAAGATACTTGGGAAGCTTTCAAAAGGTAAGTTCGAAGGCAGTCATAGGGTTTTCAGTTTAAAAATTTGAGGAATTTAACGCCGAAGAAGAATCATGAGAGTTCCAAGTTAGTACTTTTGGCAATTTCAGCACTAAATGTGACCTAGGCTTTTTTTTTTTGGCAATTAAGAAAGCAAGAATGATTAGTATTAATAGACAAACGTGTAATTTGCAATTTTAAGCCCATCCAGTTAATAACAATATAAGCAATTGAAGTTAAGCCCTCTAGCTTATAAGCAAAAAGACTATCTTTCTTTTGCTTCTGCAATAGTGTTCGCTTATAACCTATTACAATTACGAGGCTAGGACATTTATTAGGTGTTTAGTTAGATGACAAAAGCATCTGTAAGCAAGAGGACCTTGAAAGTGTAAAAGATTTGTGTCGGAATATTCGTCACCAGCGGAGGGTGGAGCCAATCCAAGGTCACGTGACTAACCTCGGCGGCTCACTCACTTACACCTCCACAAATATCCACAGCAACTGCTAACCTTAAACTTCTTTATATTAACCATTATACCTCTTTTGCATTAATAGTAATATACGCTATTTGCTGCCTCTGGTTAACCAGCCTATAATACTAACACTAATTAGTGTTAACTTTACAGTTACTACTACTGTAGATTAGCAAGGATCTTAGAAGAGGCTTATAATATCTCCCTTGTTACTATAACTTCTAGAGATAACAGAGCACTACCTAACTTAATAATCGTTAGTAACTAGAATCTTATAATATCTAGAAATAACCCTTTAAGCCTACGTCTATTACGTAACCTATTAACTTTATCACTTTTAGAGAAGTCCCCTCCTTTACTTATAACTTACTTACTAATATCTTTAACTTAACCTAGTATAACTACCTATACTTATACCTATACCTAAGATTTCTTTAAGTATTATTGTTTTTTCTACCTTCTTTAACCTTTTTTCCTCTAAGCAAGAGTTTTTACCTAAGCAAGAGTTTTTTACCTACAGAAGCAACAGCCTATATAAGATTACAAGTAAACAAGTTTTAGCTAGCAAGACTAGTAAAGTATAGTTTACATAAGAACTACCTGTTAAGGCTATTTCTAATATAGTAAAAGTAAAGTAAATAGTACCTAAAGCTAAAGTAAGCTTCTTCTACCTATAACTATCTATATCTATTATTATTATAGTCTATAGGAGGTAGTTACTACTAGCAACAAGCTATCTACTTCTAGTATTACTACTAGTAGTAGGCTACTATAAGTAACTACTAGCTACTTCTAGTATTACTATAGTAAGTAGATTACTATAAGTAATAACTATAGTACCTACTTTCTTTAAGTAACAGTAGTTAAGGCCTATATAACCTTGCCTCCTTTACGCCTTTAACCTCTTCTTTTCTCTTTAAGGCATAATTTCTATGTATACCTCCTTTTGTTCTTTAAGAGAGAGGTTAACACTACTATATAATAATTTCTATATATACCTACGTTAAGAAAAAGTTAACTTTACTTTACCTTACTTAGTAATTTTAGTAATAATTAGTTACCTTTTAACTATTATTACTTATTTACCTATATCTATTATATTTTCCTTCTTCTATTTATCCTACTCCTTATTATATCCTTAACCTATTTATTTATCTAATCCTATTATTGTTTATACTACTAGTAGTAATCCCTCTAATAAATAGATTTACCTCTAACCCTGTAGGGCAGGAGTAAGTACCTGTGTTTAAGAGGTTATTAGGCTAACAGAGGGCAACAATAGCAGAGGATTAGCCTAAGCAGGAGAAAGTATAGTATATTTACCTAAAGTACATTAAGGACCTATACCTTATCCTAGAGTACTACTAGGGCTTTATTACTAGTTAACTATAGGGCACTACTAACCTATTAGATATTACTCTTAATAGCTATAAGAGGTTAGTAAGGTGTAATATATTAAGCACTATTATTATCTATAGGATAGTCTATTATAGTAAAATAAAGATAACTAGGTAGGCACTATAGGTGTACACTAATAAGGACTTTAAGGAATAGGAACTTAACTACTTTAAAGAAGCTAATCCTAAGGT